GCACTTGCTGCTTTATTCACCTGTGTTTCCTGCTTGGCTGAATAACACATCAGGTTTGCAGCTCCTCCCCGGCATTCTATTGCACCCTTTCCCCTCCCTTTTACAGGCCAACCACACTGCCCTTTCTCTTTCCCAAAGAGGCTCTTCGCCAGCCTCCTCACCTAACTCCTACTCAGCCTGTCTCCACTTGCATGTCTCTTCCTCAAGGAAGTCTTTCCTAATTTCCACCCTACTTCAAAATGTAATGAAACGTTTGACTTACATCTGTTTACCCTGTTGCCTTTTAGCTCCCTGAGGCGGGCACTGTCTGTCCTCTCCACTAGAGCATTCTCAGAACTCAGCCAGTGCCTGACACTGCAGACCCTGGAGCTCACTGGGCTGTCTGAATGACAAGCTGCACCAGAACGCATCCTCTCGCAGGATTGACAGCTTCCTCCTCCCAGCCGAAGGAGTTACAATGTCCAAAGGCCCCACCCAGGTAGATCCCTGGGTGGCAAGTTACTCTCATATTTTCTCTAGAAAACCCTCCCGCCAGTACAGTACCCTGGTCCTGTATTGCCTCTCCTGGTGACAATGGCAAGAGAGTGAGAGGTGGTGCCTTCTCTTTTTTTTTTTTTTTTTTCTGTCCCAGGCTTATAAATTTCCCCAAGAAATCATATTCCTTAATTCCTTTGGTGTGATGTGGAATTTTTCCTGAGCCTTATTGCAAGTCAGATGGCAACTCTGAAGGGACCCAACTTGCATGCCAAGACTCATTAATATTCATGGCTGATGTATTTTTCTGCCTCCTAAAGAAATCTTGGCTTTGTTACATTCTGAGACTCCCACATTTACATCCTCAGCCCTGACTCTTCTCTGAACCGTACCTTGTGAGGGCAGCTGCCTCTTCTATAACTCCAACTGTATATTTCAAGGTATCTCAAACTCCCCTACCCATAACTTTTTTTAAAAAAAATTTAAGGCTAGTTAATGGAGCAGTGGGAGTGGAGAAGGCACAGAGAAATCTGTAACTGGATGTGATCAATTATTTGTAAACAATACTGCACTCGGACTGGCCAAAGACTGTTTTCTTCATCTTTTTCACCAACCCAGTCTCCCCAAAGCCTTCTATTTCCTCAAGCAAAAGTTTTAAGCCAGTCTTAATTTCTCTTTTCTCAAACATCACATCAAACAACAAATCATATGGTCTCTACTATCAAAATATGTTCAGAATCAACCATATCTCGCCGTACCCACCAATACTACTGCGGTCCTAGCCACCATCATGCCTCTCATGGTTTACTGCATTAGCTTCCTGCTTTGTCTCTTTGCTTTGGTCATTGTCCCCCCATGACCTTTTTTCAATTATGTAGTGATTTGGATGAAACCTCAGGTTACAAACCAGGTTGCCACTCTGGTCACAGCCCTCCAAATCCTTTCCATCTGAAAGTAAAATCCAAAGTCCTTTCCATGGTCCACAGGCCTTCACTCTGTGTGACCCCTCCTGCCACGTCCTTTCCACTCTTACTCTCTTCTGCTGACTGTGCCAGGCACACTGGCCTCCCTCCTGCTCTCTGGAAGGCAGCCTCCACCCTAGGGCCTTTGTGCTCACCATCCCCTCAGCCTGCAGCACTCTACTCCAGATGTCTGTGTGACTAGCCTCCTCACTTCCTACCAGGTAAGGCCTTCTGCAATCACCCTTGTTAAGATTGTATTACCACCATGACCACCACCATTGCTGATCGATTTTTCTCCACAGCACCTATCACTGAGAAGGTTAAGTCTCATGGAAAGAATAGCATTTTGGTTGGATTCTTTAAGGTAAAATTATGATTAGGAAGCAGAGATAACAGAAATAAGTACAGGTAGACAACAGGTAGTAAGCAAAAGTTGTCTTCCAATGGTTACCTGATGGTGTAATTACACTTTAGTGCAGGCTCTGGAACTGAGCTCAGTCAAAATGGAAACCCCAACTACAAAATCCCTTGCCTTTAAGACCAAAGTTAGCATGTTTGCTGTTTGCTGTAGCTGAGTACAAGTGCCCACAGTATAGAAATGTCTTTTCTTTAAAACAGAAACCCTTTTGATTACTGATAGGCAGAATAAAGAGACCAGAGATTGGAAAGAAACAACAAAATAAAGATTGTTGATCAAGAAAAAATCTTTTCTGGATAGAAAGGCTCAGCTCATTGTAAAAAACTACTTAAAGGGCAAATTTGGAAATCCTCAGCAGGCCCAAGTCTTCTCAGTCTTGAAATCAAAAAGTAATATCTAAAGTAACTTACAAAAATGATTCTTTATCAAAAACAAAACTCAAACCAAAAATATTCTAAATTAATCATATCAACAAAGTACCAAAACCGCACAGGGATCCTTCTAAGTGAAAGAGAATACTCAGCTATGGTTTTGTTTTCAAGTTGGAAAAAGTGATCCACGTATACTTAGCAATACAGGGAAACTTCAAAAAGTTCATGGAAAAATGGAATTAAAAGATTAAAAAAAACAAAACCTTTATTTCTTAACATAAGCTCTCTCAACTTCAAGACACTTTTGTAAGCAATGGTACCAGCCATTTAGCCCACCCCGTAAGAACTGAGGAATTTAACCATGTCAATGCAGGCATTTTTACGTTATTAATTGAAGAAAAATTGGTGCCCTTTAAAGATTTTTTAAGATTAGAAAACAAAAAGAAGTCAGGAGGAGCCAAATGAGGACTGTAAGGTGGATGCCTAATGATTTCCCATCAAAACTCTCGCAAAATTGATCTCGTTTGATGAGAAAAATGACTAGGATCATTGTTGTGGTAGAGAAAGACTCTCTGCTGAAGCTTTCCCATTTTTCTGCTAAAACCGCAGCTAACTTTCTCAAAACATTCTCATAATAAGCAGATGTTATTGTTCTTTGGCCCTCCAGAAAGTCAACAAGCAAAATTCCTGAGCATCCCAAAAAACTGTTGCCATGACCTTTGCTTTTGACCAGTCTGCTTTGAACTGGACCACTCCCACTTCTTGGTAGCTTCCTTGGATTGCGTGTCCCCCCAAACTTGACCCCCACTGTGATAGTGTTAAGAAGGTAGGAAATCCTATGATAGTAACTGAAAGGTGGGGCCTCGAAGAGGTGATTACATTGTAGAACCATGCCGTAGTCAATGGATTAATAATGGTGGTCAGGAGTATGGTTTGGTGGGCTTTATAGAGAGAATGAATGGGGTTAGTCTCTCTCTCTGCTATGCCATGTTCACAGTGTAGATACCCTGCTGACACTGAAACCACCACCAAGATATGTTCCCTGGACTTTGGACTTCCTAGCCTCTGAAACTGTATGCAAATAAATCACCCACTTCTGAGTATTTTGTTATACGTAACAGAAACAGACTAATGCAGTAGCCGTTGCTTTGATTGTGCTTTGTCTTCAGGATCATACTGGTAAAGCCATGTTTCATCTCCTATTACAACTCTTCAAAGAAATGCTTCAGGATCTTAATCCCACTTGTTTAAAATTTCCACGAAAACTTTGCTCTTGTCTGCAGCTGATCTGGGTGCATCAGTGTTGGCACCCATTAAGCAAAAAGTTTTCTCCACTGCAATTTTTCACCCACCGAGCAAAAAGTTTGCTCAACTGCAATTTTTCAGTCAGAATTGTACAAGCTGAACCAGTTGAGATGTCTATGGTGGTAACTACTGTTTGGTCCTTTTCAATTAGGGCACAAACAAGATGAATTTTTCCCTTGAAAATTGATGTGGATGGTCTGCTGCTGTGGGCTTCATCATCAACATCATCTTGTCCCTTCTTAAAACAAGTCATCCTTTGTAAACTGTTGATTTCTTTGGGGTTTTGACTCCATAAACTTTTCATAAAGCATCAATGATTTTACTATTCTTCCATCCAAGCTTCACTATCAATTTGATGTTTGTTCTTATGTCAATTTTAGCAGAATTCATGTTGCTCTGATAGGGGCTCTTTTCAAATTGATGTTTTATCCTTGTTAGTGCCTCAAACTAGATCCTTTTCAGATATGTTTTAACAAGTCAGTACAAGTTTATTTTGGTGCAAAAAATTTTTGCGATCCATGCATATTCTTCATAATACACACTTTCATGAACTTTCTAAAGATCCCTGTATTCATAAAAGGATGTTCCAATCAAGAAATGTATATCAAAGCTAATGAACTACTCTCCTCCATTCATTTTGAACCAGTTAAGGATTCTCATGTATAAATCTGATATAGTTTTGTTCTAATGAGAGTTGTGCAGATTAAACTTTTTAACAGCCTTGAAAACTTTGTGAAGAGGAATTGAGCAAATATTTTGCACAAGAAAAAAATCTGTAGAAAGCTGCACCAGTCTTTGTAACATTTACGAAGATTACACTGGAGTATTAATTCTCCTGTCACTAATTATTGTCAAGAGCTAAATGACATTTTCTTAACCACTAAGTCTGTATGAAAATTACTCCAAAGGAAAAAAAAATGTGTGTGCATATTCCTGTACTACTTCTATTTGCTTTTAGCCCAACTTGTATTCATCTTCGGATCCTATTTTTCATTACAAAAGATAACTATGCTTTCAAACTGAATTATAAGCCTTTTTTTTATAACTACTTTTCAGTGAGTGGATACAGAGAACGCTATTTAATCTAACTTAAAGTTTCACTTTAGCACTCAGCTAAACAGAAATTTTCAAAGGAAATTCTGCTTCAAGATATAAAATACCATATGATCCTAGCTTCAAGGGAAATTTTATTTCTTTTTATAAGTGAGTTTATTACTTAAAGTGAACTTACAAGATCTTAGTAGGTTTTTATAAACTGAAGCAAACTACTTTATTTGAATTGTTATGTATCTCTCTAGCATTTCTTAATATAAGAGAATATATTTGTAGAAGTAATCATTCTACTAATCATACTAACTTACTGTGCTCCCATATTAACTTAAAATCTTGAACTCTTTAAAATACCCGCAAATAAAATGTGAAAGTTAAGGAAAACTTAAGACTCAAAAAGAAATTTTTGGTAACTATGGTAGTTTTTGGAACATGTATAATTCCATTTACATTCTCAGTGTTTCAATTCCATTTATCTTAAAATTAGTTTCACAAATTGTTAAATGGTCATAATTCAATATCAGTGCATAATATATTTGAGAAATGTCTAGTAACTCTCTTGTTATTAGGTAATTTCATGATTCAAATCTCCTGCTTTGATGTTAGCACTTACTAAGCTACCTTTTAAAGCAAAACGACAACAAAACCCAAAAATCTTCTTCAAAAAGCACTGAAGAGATTTACCATTTTTATTTTGAAGATGGAAAAAGCAAAGGTAGGGTAGGTTAAAAGGTCTGTCAGAGTGCATGACTAAGTCTTTAACAAGATTAAGTAATTCTTTTCTATCAATTCCTATTACCCTGGAAAACACCAGGCGTTACCAGGCAGGTAATTGCTGTTCATATTATCTAGACCTAACTAAAGTAGAAATTAAAGGAAACCAACTATAAAATCCACGGGGAAAAAAAAAAAAGAAAAAGCAACTCCTAATCAATTGAGAAATAAGTAAGGTTGATTAGCTCTTTATGTGCCCAAATGAATATGCCATTTAAACACAAAGACCAAGCTTATTTCATGTTTGTATTCCTCAAGGGGCTACATATTACTGATGGCTACAGGCACAATCCACTTTACAAGTACACAATCTAGTGCCACAAGCAGATCATAATGGCACCAAACTCAGGCCTTTTTACAAGAGGAAAGTTTTAAATAGACAGTGAAGTGAGAGGCTGAATATGGAAAAAATCACACAGACACACACACACCAACGCCCACACATAAACATATTCTAAAAGTGCTCCACATTAGACTGTGCTAGTCTGGACACCCGCTGGGACTGATGGACACTGAGTGGCAATCATCTCCTTATCACCTCCATGCCTAATCACATGCCACCCTGAGACCTCCACTTCAGCACTTCAGCTGCCAGTAGTCTCACAGAACACAAGCCCTGTTTCTCGTGTGATTCCTCAGGATTCCTCAAGCTGCTGATGTCACAGATCAAGCACAGTAATCACAGGACTATCACCACACAAGCTTATATGTCTTCCACTCTCTAACACAAACAACACACACAAAATTCCCTATTAGACAGCTGGCCAGAGTGCATGGGAAATGGATTTTCATGTCACATATACTGGAGAAGATACCTAGCTTCAAAGCAAAGTTTAGAGGAACAGTACATAGTTAGTAAAGACTAATAAACTGGGTTCCAAAGTTCGTCATTGGCTAAACCATATTATTTTACATCTGTGTTGTAAAGCAGATATTTAAGAAAAGCAAACATATGACCTTATACTTATGCTTGACTAACAGAAAGCTCTTTCCTGAGTCAACCCAGGTTTTGCCATCCTAAGACAAAAGTGGAATTCAAAGAGAACAAAACTTGTATAAAAAACATCCTGTATTTTATAAAGAAAATAAGAGAAAATCCCACAATCACCATTCTGTGTGCTAGCCAGGCACCGAAAAGGTATACTCAATGAAATGACTTTTCTCCATTAGTTTCAAGATATAAAATAAAACTAGAACATGCTAAAAAATTGAATTAGTTTCCTGATATCTGCCTACCATGTAAAAGTATCAAAATGCAGTCTCACATAGGCTGAATGTACTAGAGTATATTAAATTTCATCATTTATGATCACTTTGTTATAACCAAATTAACCCTGACATAAATGTTCACATTTTAAAACACAGAAAACATACTGATCTTTCAACTATTTTATTTACATGTACTTTTTAATTCTCATGCAGTGCTCATAATTAGGAGATACTGTACATTAACCCTCTCATATTATACTTATTAAGAACAAAGTTCAGAGGGTAAAAACATGACAATATACATCCATTCTCCATAAACTGCTCATAGATATATTAAGTCATTGTTCATTCTAATTATATACTTATGGTACATTCTTCTTTAAAATGTATCATTGTAGTCACTTAACAATAGTTATGAGGCAATAATATCATTTCAGGAAAAGATTACAGCAAAAGAGACCAAAAGTCAAAGAGAAGAGACCAGAGCATATAAAAGTCATTTGAAAACACCACACACACTTGGATGTTTTCTACTTTCCAGGTGGAGCGAACATGCACAAAGTTTTCTTAGCAAATAATGGTTCAGAAGTGCACGAAAAATTGGCTTTCATGTCATATATGTTCAGTGAAGATCAATGCCATTGAGGAAAAAGAACTGTATTCATTATCTTTTAGGTCTGTCTATATCATCTATTGCTGCTAGAAGTTTTTGTCTTGCTTTCTTATTGATATGAGATCCCAGGCAAACATTCACCAGATTGGTCAGCTGCTTTGTTGAATATTCCTGCTCAAAGAAGGAAGGTCCAAATTTAGTACACTTAAAGATATGTATTTGATCAACACAACAAAAGAACAGGCAGATATTTGAGTGTCAGTGTGTGGTTACATAGCACTACAGACCAGTAAAAAAACAATAGAAACTATAGTTCAGAAATGGAAGACAAATTATTCACTGAACTGTAACATTAGGAAATAAGGATCCTGTAGTGTACATTTCAAACAGGAAGAAACAGAATCTGTCTTAATATGTCAAGGTAATCAGACATGCTTGTTTTTTATTACTTTAAAGATCACACACTTTCTGCTTGTTTCTGTGATAGTCTCTGTTATTGAGTTACCAAAATACACTGACATTTCAAACCTTAAAAATGCTACTGATTATTTTTCTGCCATTCTACATTTGTAAACACTTTAGTTAAAAAAAATCTCCACTAACAGAACAACTCTTCTAAGATAAAATAAATGAATAAGGTAAGAAGGATCAGAAAGTCACTGTTTTTTAAGCCCTCATATTGTCATTGGTAAGCTCATAAAAAAATTAAGACTATAAGTATTTTTCACTACCCAAGTCTTTCTCCGGTTCCTGGATTTCAGACAATGAGTTGCTGAGAATGAACAGGGATTCATAGAAATATTTGCATATTGATTTGGTTCTAGATGTTGAATAGCAAGAGCTCAGAGGGAGTTGTGTACTATAATCTAATAAGAAAACTTGTCTTTATTGAAGGTAACAACTAAAGATAGTGCAATTTCAAAATATGACACAGAGTTCACTTTAAGAACTCAGCAAACTGCTTAGTTTGTGTATCTGACCTCTGAGAGCACTTCTCACCACCTGGTAAATAACTGCATTTAAACAGTCAGTACTCAGTGAATAGCCATCATCATCGAGCACTGGACTCATCATAGTGGGGAGTTTCCCTGGAAGATACAACAGAGTCCCTGCTATTGCTGCAAAAACATAACCAAATAAGAGAAAATCAATCAATTAAAGTTCCTCCAAAATACAGAGCAAAAAAATTTCAGTCTTCTATATTAAAAGAGGGAATCCAAAAATGGGCATCATTCCTCCATCAAATAATGGATATTTAAGTGCTGTGCTTTTTCTCCATGGCCACTTTTTACTCAAATCCCTTCCTCAGAACCAATCCTGAAGGGTTTACAGCATACTTCACTGAATGGATTCTAGCAGTCCATCTGTATCTGGGTTTTGCATTTTGGTTCTCAAAATGTCAGTGGAGGTAAACATGGTGAAATTTTTCTCAGTTCTGGCTTACTTATCAAAATCATTGAAAATAACACATACATTTCTACTTGCTTCCAAAGGTTTGAAATTGATCTTCAATGGGGCCCATTTTCACAAAACTCAGGCTAATGTTCCAGGCTAATGTTCGTTTTGTCTTTTTAGTGTGTTGGAAAAAAAAGACCAAGCCTGATAAAGTAAATATGAATAATTCCTCATTTCCTTACCCAAATGAAATAAAATTGTACTTAGCTTTCACCCATGATGTTTATAGCCAAAGTAAATACAAACATTAGAGTTATTAAAGCAACAAGATTTGGTGATGACTTTAACACTTCCCATATTTTCATTAAATCCATCTTAACATACTACCCATCTAGACAAATGATAAAACAATCGTACAGACAAGCCACGTATACTAAACATGCTCAGGTGACATATGTTGAGTTAAACTGTGTCAAAAATTCAGCACCCTAAATAACAATAGTATTTTTCTCTATTTATTTATACATCCATACAAAAGAAAAATAATCAAATCTATATTAAATTTAAAATCTAATGTAGGATGCTGGTTAAACTTAGCCATTTAAATATTGATGTTGTCAATCATTACTAATGCATGCCAGTGCGTATAGAACGTTAACCATTTCATTGTTGAGGAGTATAAAGTTTAAGATATATAAGAGACTATAGCTTATGAATCATTTTAATGTTAGTGTATTCAAGTTATCTTGATGTTAAACAACTTCAGCCTTTCCTACAATACAGCTCTGAAAAAACACAGCTAACATTCTGACTTTGGCTATATTTCTAGATAATTACTATAACAGTTCACCAACGGCTCACAAAGATTTGATTAGGCAAAGGGCACTGCGCAGATACAGTCTGAATATGGTAATGAACTGAACTAAGTAGTTTATGTTAAAAAAACAAGTGTTTCTTTATATTTCACTCTCAAGATTTTGAATTTAATATACCAGACAAGAACATCACAAAGGAAAAGAAAAAACTTAATTAAATGTTTTCCAGCTCTCACCCTGTGCTCCTTGATCCAGCGTTCCATGTCATTCTCAGTTAGGTAGTAGGCTTTAATATAGGTTTCCACAAATTCTTTATCAGGAATGGGTCTAATGTCTGTTAGTTTTTCAAGTTTCATTAAAAACTGTTGAAAATCCAATTGCATCAAGGCACGACCTTCATTACTGCATTTCTTGACATTGGCATATCTAAGATACACAATGATAAAAAATACATAATGGGATGGTTAGAAAAAGAAATCTTTAGGGGATTGAACTTTTTATAACCCACATTTGGACAGATCCTCGAGAAATGAGACAGTTACAGGAATTACAGCACGTGAGCCTTGAGTCAGAAGGACTAGGTTGTGTTCATGTTCTGTCATTTTACCTATCTGGTTAAAAAAAAAAATCATGTTACCTATCTGGGTCTCAGTTTTCTCAACTGCAAAGCAGAGAGACTGAAAAACTTCAAGGTTGTTTGTTGGTCTATCTGTACCCAATTAACATAATTATCTGTAAGAAAGTTAAGCTGGTATTCTAGTTAATCGGCTGCCAACAGTTATTTATAAAATTAAGTTTTGAATAATCCAAAGTAATCTTAATTTATAAAATTGTTTAATATTGTAACTATTCAATGCAAAGGAAACAAATGCAATAATTTTCTGAACACTTGGCAAATCAAAGCAATGTGTAAGCATATAAGCATAGAAAGTATATACATATTTTCCAAAATAAAACAGTTTACAGACTTCTTCTGACACCCCACACTACTGAAACACTGTGTTTTATGGTGGACTAGTAATAAGAATGAATATATTAACCCTAACAGTACAACATCCTATTACTTGTAAATCAGTTTCTCATTCCTTCAATCAGTCACACAGAACGTGGAAAATTCAACTTTAGGGAATGAGGTACTTCCCCTAAGGAAATTTGCAAGAAAATTAAAGCTTATTTTATTTAAAGTGACCAAGACTTTTTTAAAAAAACAATAAGAAGTGCTTTATACAGAAATCTAACATATATTATCCACTTTTCTAGTTTATTAAACAAATTTATTACAAATACTTTCAGTCATGATTGTTGACATAGAGCCATTTTATGATTTACAGCACTGCTGGTGTGTTGTTGGTTTCAATACAGAGTGCCAAGACTATTGTCAGCTTGTCACCACACCCTTCCAATTTTCTAATACGTTCTTTTTGATAACAAGTGAGAATTAAAGAGAAATCAGATAAGTTATAGTGTAAAAATTCAATTGACATGCAATTCTAGATCATTGTGCATGGTCTCTGAAACAGCTGTTTGCTTTTCAGGGATACTTTAAATGTATTACTGATTCTTACTTGTGTTCTAGATGTTATGAGCAGGTAAGCATGGTCTCTGAGTAAGTGAGAAAATTACTACTGATACATCTGTAAACTCAAAACATGAAAGATTTATACCATTTTCAATAATAATAATAATAATATGATGATGATGATGAATGCTAATATAGGAGTTATGAGGACTTTGCCATCAGAAAATCAGGAGTTCTTACACCTTCTCTGCCTTTAAAAACTATGTGAACTTCGACAAGTTATTTAACCGGTTTAAGCCTTGGCTTCCTGAGCCCATGTTTTCTTGTTGATAAAACAGAGAGAATAATAGTAACTGTCAAAGAGAATTTATGAAAGGACTTGGTGATATAATCCTGTGAAATGTTTGGTTCAGTAAATGATACACAGTGCTCGATAGATATTAGGTATCATCATCATCATCATAATTTCGTTATTAGGTAATAATAACTATTATTAGTTTAACTTTCAGATCACCATTAGATTCTACATTCCTCACTCATGATCTACTACCTGGTTCTATTTCACCAGCAAGAAAAGAATGCATAGACAGAGATAGGCACAGTAGGGTTTAAGGTTTCTTCTCTAATTATATTTTAAACTTGTCTATTTATCATTATCTCTACTTATTCTCTCCATTTATTGGTAACAACATACAATGTTATTCATATATTATAATTTACCATTTAAGAAGCAGATGATGCTTTCATGAAGAACTTACCCTTCCACAATGGTTCTATTAGCCAATCGTATACAATGTTCCCAAAGTATGTTAGACACAGGCAACGGTATCCGAACTCTCTTAGAAACTTCATTTAACCTCCTGTTAAACTGCTCAAATTCCTAAGAAGACAAAAATTGTGGTTGTTGGTGAATATCACTCTAATGACAGAATGCTTTCCCATGAATGTGGTAAAAAAGCATTTTTTTAGAAAGACTCAAAACCAAACCAAGTAAAAGAAAAAGTGACAATGCCAAAGAGAATTTGCACTTAGTGTGAAGGTTTAAACACATACACACACACACACACACACACACACACACACCCCACTTTGAATAGGTTATGTTAAAGTACAGAGTACACTACATTTCATCTCTAAAGAAATGTGTCATTAACTCATTAAACAAAGTTAATGTCAAAATGTTTCTACATCTCAAAATTTTCTGTGATTGTCAATATAGATTAAAAGAGCTGAATAACCTGATTTGGCTTTAAAAATATCTTCAAGAAACGCAGTTCTAAAAAAATGTTTTAGAAGCTTTCAACTCAGATTTAACTTTTGTAATTTATGGCTATACTCTTTAGAGAGCAATATGATAAATTATTCTCTTTCCTAAACATTTTTTGGAAGTAAATAAATTATTATATACCAAATGATTCAGAAGTCATGTTTATAGCTGCAAATTTTTAGTACAAAGGAAAAAAACAAAACAATATTTTCTATTACCTACAGAAAAACTGAACATTTTTAGTCTTTATTAACTTTTATGATTATACTAAAAATAAAACTACACATAACTAATTTAGAAAACTCCAAAAAATTAAATGAAAGCAGCAGATCGTTCACTCTTCAATAAAAGTGTTTCTGGTCTCTTTGGACTATTATCATCTAAATATATTCATTTATAAAAGTAAATGCCATTGACCTTCCTTGGCAATATATTTCAAATAAACTTAAGAAAACTTAAAATGACATTTTTCTTTAGTTTCCCAAATAGGAAGCTACACAATATTTAGAAGTCAAGACTGAAGGGTGGGGCCAGCCAGTCAGCTCAGTTGGTTAGAGAACAGCCTTATAACACCACGGCCATGGAATCAGATCTCCATACCAAAAAAAGAAAAAAAGACTAAGGTGTGTTCAAATTTTCCAACAACACACAGGAGAAAAAAAATCTAACCTGAATATTACCAGTCCAGCTGGTAATACCACATAATAACTGTGTTATCCTTTGCTCTTTCGCTGCTTCCTAAATCACAATTTTTCTTGCTGATTTCTTTTTAACACTTCATTGCTTTTAACTGTTTTTTAAAAAGTGGATCGTCAATTCACTAAGCTTACCTTTGAAAATCAAAGTAAAATAAATAATTGCTCTTCATTTATTGTTTCATTTCATAGATCTAGCAGAGCAGTAGTGTTTGCTACTGTACAGGGTACTTCAAAAGTTCTTGGAAAGATTCACATTATCTTTTATTCTGTTTTTCCATGAACTTTTTCAAGTACCTCGTATTTATTTACACATTCGCTACAGTAAACTGCTTTGGATTTCAAGAATCAAAATTTAACACTTTTCATTAACATTTTATTTTTAAAATAAAGCTATATGCTTACTGTACCAAACAGCATTCTACTTACTGTTAAATTCAATGTTCAAGAATGCTTATTATTAAATGAATAATAAAATCATTTCATTTTGCTTATGATTCTTTTGGAACAACAAAACCAGGCTGCTTTCACCTAAATGCTTACTTAGGCTTGGAAAAGTAATAAAAGGAACAAAAGTTATCACAGATAATTAACCTTTATGCTTAAGGAAGGCCTTAAGCTGCTAAAAATTGGGTTCAGATTGATAATATGAATAACATTGGTTCTTTCTTATAATATTTATGTTTCTTAGAATTAAGATAACATAAGTAAACTCCTTCTAGTATGTATATTTGCTGAGTACAGAAATCTTTTTCCTTACATCCCTATGAGCACCTTGGTTAGAATGTGCTGTGGTCTAAATGTCTGTGTTCCCCCAAAATTCGTATGCTGTAATCCTAACTCCCAGGGTGATGGTGATGGGAGATGAAGCCTTTGGGGAGGTGATTAGGTCATGAGGACACAGCCCTCACAAATGGGATTGGTACCCTTATAAAAGAGGCCCCAGAAAGCTGTCTTGCCCCTTTCACTACGTAAGGAAACGGCAAGAAGGTAACATTTGTGAGACATTAGGCCCCCTACCAAACACTGAATCTCCCTGAGCCTTAACCTTGGACTTCCCAGCCTCCAGAACTGTGAGAAATTAACTATTTGTTGTTTATAAGCTACTCAGTCTGTAGTATTTTGTTACAGCAGCTCGTATGGACTAAGTATGTCATAAAAAATAAAATCAACTTTTCAAAAACAGAATTGTTTAAAATGGGGGAGGAGGGTGTCATTATTTATAAACTACATTGATCTTTTACATTCCAAATGAAAATTTGCAATTGAAATCTCCTGGGTGCTCTAGACACCAAAGTTCTTCCTTTGATTATTTTTCATGGTCATTGATCTTCGAATTCCAGGGTGACAAATACAGAGCATCCTTGCTGTCATTCACTCCTTACATCTCTACAGAAGCTCCCAGACGTTGCTTACTGATCATGACACCCTTGAGTCTGAGGACAGCTTCATAGTCTCCAACCCAGCCCTCCAGAAGGGTACCATAGAGTTGCTAGGAGTCAGCACACTAGAAGAACTCTGCTACTCCGCTCGCTATCTGTTTTAATGTAAGGCTTTGTTTATGGGTTCTCAGGTGCTCCAGGCTATTATTGACTGCCTTGTTAAGCAGGTAAGAATGACTGTGTAAATGAGATAAAAGTCAGGAGTTTAAAAAGGCCAATTTTCTTTTCATTGACAAAAATGAAAAGCAAAATTTTTCTGAAAGCTTCTTGAATCTTCTCAGACACTTTCCTCACCTCCGACAGCCACATGGCTCATTGCCCTACTCCCTTCACCTTCTCACTTTATCAGAGTCCTCTCTGACCACAATAAACAAATGGTTTTCCTCTCCCACATGACCCACATCCTATCTCTCTCTCTCTCTCTCTCTCTCTCTCTCTCTCTCTCTCTCTCTCTCTCTCTCTCCACCTGGCTTGTTGTTTGTTTGTTTTTCCACAGCATTATTCATCGCTTGACATTACACCTCAATTATTTATGTTTAAGGCTATCTCCACACTGGCATGGAAATTCCTTGAGGGCATGTAAGTTCTTTAATTCACAACTATTTTGCCAGCACTTCTATCAGTGCATGAGACATGTTAGGAGATCTATGAATATCTATTCATGCATAAATGGAAAAAAACTACAATTCTTTCCAGGAAATTTATAAATGCAGGTTAATAAACACAAAGAGGTGTTTGCCTGACACATTGCAAAAGTAATGTAACTTCTAGAAAAAAAACAACTTGAAATAATCAGGAATATCGTCTCTTGCTAATGAATATACACACTAAACCACAGAAATAACTTTTTATTAAACAGAAATAGCTTCTTGTCATTAGAGTCATGACTATTGAGATTACATAATATGAAGGTCAGCCATGACATACAATAATCAAACTCTAACTCAAAATGGAAAATTAGTAAGCAAAAACAAAAACTCTACAAAGTATTCTTAGATCTAAAAGGACATAAAATTCAGAAAGCAAGCCTATTCCAATTCAGGGACTTTAACACCACAATGCTAGAAGTGTGGTCGTAACTCACTACTTTAGAGTCATTGCAATAAAGGAACATTTCTCTTAGTGGAATGATCTTTAGCAAAAGTGTTTTCCAGAGTACTCACCTTTAACAGTGCATCTACATATATGTTGTGCTGTGACATAATTTCTTTTACATCCCATTTCACATTAGCCATTAGAAGCAGCATCTGTTCATAATCAATGGCTTTTCCAGCTACAATCCAGTAAATTGGTTTGCGTAGTTCACTGGCAGTTGAGACTGTCTGAAATAAATTTCACATAAATGAAAACAGTTATTTTCTAAAAGTATCACACTTTATAAGGACTATTTTGCCCATTTCTCATATACATCATATATGAAAGGAAAACACCATACACTTGGAGATTTAAATTATGAAAATATTTTAACTAGGAGGCAAAAGGGCTTACTTACTAAAAGGAGACAAAAGAGAAATTCAATAAACTTGAGGCCATTGACACTACAACTATAAAAGACTTACAGCTTTTCATGGAGACTAACCAATATTTCTCAAATTCTTCTCCTTCTCTCCATTTCCATCCCCACCACCCTACCTCAGGATTCCATCATTTCTCACCTGCAGTTCTGTAACAGCCTTCAAACTGGTCTCCCTGTCTCTAGGCATCTCATCGAAAGTCAATTCTTCTGCCCCCAAAGAATTCTTTCTAAAACACACACCTGACCATGCTGCTCACCTGTTCCAAACCTTCCAGCAGCTTCCCAGTGCCCTTGGGATAAAGCTCCTGGCCAAGGGTGCTTTGTATGATGTGGCTCTCCTGCTTACACTCCACCCGCTTTCTCGTCGCCAGCCCTCTTCCCAGCTCTGACAAGCTGGGTTTTCCTCAGCTGCTCATTTGCACCATGCTCTCTCTCACCTTCTGGTCTTCATATATGCCATTTGCTTAGTCTGAAATATATCCCCAGCTCCCCCTCTCTGCCTGGCTGGTCCAGTTTAAATATCACTCCCTCCAGGCAGCCTTGCCAGACAAGCTTCTCCCAACCACAACTCCTCTCCTCCTCCAGTCTGGGTTCAACACTGTCATTGCCCTTTCCCCTTATCATAGCACTCATCATGCCTTACTATAAATATACTTTTACTTGGCGCACTCTCTCACTGGACTAAAAGGTATAGAAGGTGCTCAATAAGTATTTATTTTAACAGGAATTCATGAGTGAATAAATGAATATTCGATCTACCTCTCCTGGGGTTTAGAGACTGACCTCTAGTAAAAAAAACCTAAATAATCTGTGACAGTTGAAATGATATCTTGCTCACAGTTGAAACGATAATTAAGACCAGCTCTGACCTGAGAATAAAACTGCTGAAGAAAGGGCTTTTTGACTGCAGGCATCACAGCATCCAGATGTGGCTGAAGGAACTCAAATTGTTCAGCCAAGAATACCCTAAAGGGAATAAATAACCCGCTGTGTAAACAAACCATACTGGACTTACAGCCTGTCAACAGTTTTTTATAAGCAATCTTTTGAGATCTCTGAGTAAAACTTTAACAATTAAAATTATTTTCCACTTTAGCGCACTCTCATAATACCACTTGACACGTTCATTTACAATCGACACAATAATTAATGCTAAGCTTATCACTGAATAGAAGTAGAGGTGAAAGAAGAGTAACTTCAAAGGAGCTGATCAGGTTACCATAATGTGCAGAGTTATGCTGCTTTGAATGTAAGATATGAGCACAGATAACACAGACAATTGAAAAAAGAATACAACAGTATTTTTTAAAGGATTTCTTTTAAAGATCCTATTCAATTATTCACAATAGACTCCTGAATTCACAGATTCAACATTTAACACTTTCCAGAGTATCCCAAACGTTCATACATGCAGCAAACTGTAGCTTGGCTGAGACATACAAATGAACCACAGGTGCAGGAGGCTGGTGTACAGCAATGGAAGTCATTTGGCTGGTGAATGAGCCTGGACTACTGCCTGCAGATGCACTGCAACTGAATACTGTTTTTCAACTTTTTGTTATGTATGCAAAAACTCTTATATGGGACTACATTTTGTGGAGGAAATGATATGCCTTAATTGTATTAACAAATTTGGGGATTTATAAAGGTCAGGAAGCATTTTTGCTGACATCAAGGGTCAACTATATTCAACACTAAACTGACAATGTAACTACAGTTTTTCCAGACTCATCAGTCATCAAAAGGAAAATATAAAGAACAACTATATACTAAAACTTTTAAAAAAAGTTTTACTTAAAGCAAGGATCATGTTGCTAAAGGTCAAAACTTGAAAGATTTCCTTCCTTCCCTTTATATAACTGAAAGCCAACCACGGAGTTTTAAAAATCGATTGGTAAATGATGTTAGGATATCCTTCTCAGAAATACATAAGTGATATTTAGAAGTGATAGATGAATGTAGCTAGAAGTCTAATTATACAATGCTTACTTGTATAACGTTTCTAAGTATGTAATGACAAAGCAACTGTTCTTAACAACTTACAAGGATTCTGTGGCTACCACTCTTTCTGCCAACCCGTACAATGTATCCCCAGATGTCAAAACCACTAGGTGACTGAGGTGTGGGCTTGGTACCTTCTCCTTTCTTTCTTCTGCTGCTGTAAGTGTGGCAGTAGGATCGGCTGAAACTTCCTGAAAATATAACACACAAGTACACACACAACCTATAATAGCAAGTCCAAAAGTAACAAACCACATGATTTTGACAAAACTACAACTACAATTAAAATACTCTTAGGCACATACTTAGTTTCAGTTTTGGGGGTTTTTTGTTGTTGTTGTTGTTGTTTTTCCTGCTTTTGTTTTGTAACTATTGGGATTTTCCTTTTAATACTAAGTAAAAATGATCCTGTCTAATATCATCCAACTCTATATGCTACAATCTGTGCATGACCTGAAGTCTGCCAACAAGGAATCTTTATGAATTGACAGATGTTTCATAGAGACAATAGTGAGATGCCCCTCAAGAACTTGTGAGGGAAATGAGACTGCCCCTTGGGAATCCAGCTGGTAAAATCCAAAATTATGGTTTTCACACCTGATGGAGTTTGGATGTGTTGTCCCCACCAAAACTCATGTGGAAGTTTGATCCCCAGTGTGGCAGTGTTGGAAACTGATTGAGTCATGGGGGTGGATCCCTCATGAATGGATTAATGCTCTCCCTGAGGGAGGGGGGATTAATGAGTGAGTTCTCGCTCTATTAGTTCCTGCGAGACCTGATTGTTTAAAGGATCCTGGCACCTCCTCTCTCTCTCTCTCTCCTGCTTCCTCTCGCCATGTGATCATGTCCCTGCTGACTGCTGCCACTTTCCACCATGAGTAGAAGCAGCCCTAGGCCCATACCAGATGCAGGTGCCCCGGAATCTTAAGCCAAATAAACCTCTTTTCCTTATAAATTACCCAGTCTCAGGTATTTTTGTTATAGCAACACAAAACGGATTAACATAACACCCAAATCTTAATCAAAGTAACCCTAGTATAATCTCAAGAAGGCAGGACTAGAATGTAGTTATGAACTGAAACAGAACCAGCTTTTTGTATAGGTCTGGAGATAGACTATTATGAGAAGGAAGATGATCAATGCGAAGAAAGGAAAGGGACACCCAGAGAGGAGGGAATACTGGGCTCCTGAGCATTGTCCAGAAGAGAACCACTGATTCAGGTAAACCATGTTGTCAACAGGGGTGATGCAGTCTAATTTGAGGTCGGGAAAACTCATCAGACTTTAAATCTCTCAGTTTGACTTTTATCTGATGCCTTGCTCACTAGCAATCTTCTCATTACTAATTTAACTTTCCAGATGTTCTGATGCCAGGAAAGCAGTGCCTAGAAAAAGAGTTATGTACATTTATGGACTTCATAGAAATATATTCCATATTATAAACAAAGAGACTGGCACAAGAAGAATTTCTAACATATGCTCAACACATGGCAAATAACTCTTACTTTTACTGAGCTCTTACGAAACAGTAAAAAAAAAAAAAATCCAAAAAAACACTTGAACTATTGGCACCCTGGCCATCTTTTTTTGTGGGGAGCAGGGGAATGTCTTGAGGAGATCTTACCTAACAGGTGCTACATCAGCTACTTGAAGCAGCTGATAGAGAAGCAGAAGACTGCAGTTATAGAGTTAGCAGTCATTCCAAACAGTTCAATAAAGATACATTTAGGTGAACAAGCTTCCCTTTGTAAAGCAAAGATGAAAGATTGCTGTTTAGAATATTTATACCATCACATCAGTTATTTAAGTAGTTGCTATATTTAATGTCAGAGAGAGTTTAATTATTGTTTTTGGGGGGAAAGAGAGGAAAGAGGTCAAGGTAGTGACATCCATCACAACTGCACTGTAAATAATGATAATATAAATAATAATAATATCATAATATTATTGTAAAAAGTTATTTTAGTTTTCAATGAATGACTCCTAAAAATGCTAATGGCATTATCATCTTAAAGTCATTTCATCGTGTGAAGCCATGAAGAACTTTTACAACCAAATATATTTTTAATGGCAATTAAGTTGAATCAGAAATGAACATTATAATTTTAATTTAAGTACAGGGCTTTCCAATACTGACATGGCAAAAAACTTCATTTACTACATTTTGAAAAAAATTCAGAAGAGAAATTTACAAAACAAAAGAATTAAGAGAAAAAAATGCTATGTAAATTATACAATAGCTCCTAGTACAAAAGTACTGTTACATTTTTTTAAGTTTGCCTAAATACAGATTAATTCCTGCCCTCACCCAATCTTTTAGTAAAAAGTTTTCAGTTTTGATTGAATCATCGAATGACAGAGCTAGAAGAGATGCTAAACACTATTTGATATAACCTCTGCAGTTTATGCAGTACTTTCAGTAGGAAAAACATTAAACGGTTATCTCCATTAGAGTCTAAAGGTGAGAACATATGAGTAGACAGCAAAACTAAATGTTTAAATGCAAATATAACTAATAGCTTTAAAAGACCCTCAAAGAAAATTCTACCACAAAAATTGAATGTAAACAAATCTAAAAGTGTATGAAATATAAATCTAGATTACTTTTTAAAGTAACTATATAGTCACAAATCTCCAACATTTTCCATATGAATAAAAGAGACATCAAAGACAAGACTCTGGGAATAATTTACTTTTATAAATTTATAAAATTTATAAAACCTTTCAAGTTAGAAAATGGCTTTATTCTTCTTTAGTTCTTTTTCATTTCTTATCTTCTCCTAAAGATATGTCTCCTTTCAATCTCTAATTACTCAATTAGCACTTAAAAGTTATTTTGGGAATAACTGAGCTTCCTCTAGGGAGAATCAGGATCATGGAACTATGCAAGTTAATCAATTTCACATCTCCATTATTTATTTCCCTCTACTAAACAGGAAATAACCTTACTCCAGCAAATAATAATAATTCACAAAATTAGGTACTGTTTGATACCAATTGGTTGCCTGTGCTATTTAATTCTGGTGGTTATGTAATATATCCAAGTGGGAAACCTTGCAGTCATGCATGACTGCCCCTCCTCCTCATCTCCCACATCCAATCAATCACTAAAACATGCCTAAACAGACACCTCTCCTGTTCCTTCCTGATGTCACTATTCAGCCAGGCCCCAGGGCCCTGAACAGTCTTGACTGGACTATTCTAAAAGCCCCTGACTACAGGGCTCTGTCTCTACCTTTTTCTGTTTCTGCTCTAGATTCCACAAAGTTATCTAGCTTACTTTACTATAATATCAATGTGACCTTTCTAAAATAGAGATGTGATCATACCTCTCCCTGGTATTAGAAGCCTTGATCTCTTCCTTACAGTAGATCAAAGTCTAAATGTGTTATCATGATATTACTCTCTTACTGCTGACACCAGCTACCTTGCCAACCTCATTTCAAGCTGTTGTTCCTTGCCCCTTAGGTCTAGCCACACTGGACTACTTGCTGTACCTGTTCTCCTGAGACTCCTGTCTTACCAGCTCTCTTCCCCTGGTCTGCCAAGCTCTTGCTTGCCTCCTCACTTTTTAAAATCTGAGCTCATGTACCATCTGAGGTGGTGACCTTTCTATACTTTCTCAGTCTCCCAAGAAGAATTAGTATCTTACATGTGTTCCTATTACAGTCAACCTTCTCAATCCATGGGTTCTGCATTTGTGAATTCAACAAACCACAGACAGAAAATATTTTTTTTTAAAAAACTGCATCTGTACTGAACATATACAGACTTTTTTTCTTGTCATTACTCCTTAAACAATACAGTATAACAACTATTTACATAGCATTTACATTGTATTAGGTATTATAAGTAACCTAGAGATGATTTAAAAGTATACAGGAGGATGCGTGTAGGTTATATGTAAATGCTACACCATTTTGTAACACTGAGTTGAGCATCCACAGATTTTGGCATCCGCAAGGGTCCTGGAACCAAGCCCCCACAGATGTCAAGGGACGACTGTATCTAAATGCATGCATGCAGATACATGTTTTTTTTCTACGGCATAAAGTGCGCTTTATTATCTGTTGTTTCCTGACTCCCCTACCTCCTGAGACTTCTTGGAGGATGCAGACCACTTTTATCATCTTTGCATCTCAAGACCTTGGCATGCCTGCTGGCATTAGCAGGTCCTCAATTGGTCTAACTGATGAAAATGATAAAAATAATAATGATAACAGTTTTCATTTCCTCCCCTCTCCTGGTCTTTCAAATCCATTCCAACTAGACTTTTGTGTGCCCCACTCCAAAAAACACTTATCAAAGTCCCCAACAACCTCCATACAGCAAAATTCAGTAGCAGTCAATCCTGAATATCCATTATGCAAGGGTACTTCAAAAAGTTCATGGAAGGGTTGGCTGGTGGCTCACTTGGGAGGGCATGGTGCTGATATCACCAAGGTCAAGGGTTCAGATCCCCTTATCAGCCAGCAGCAAACAAACAAAAAGTTCATGGAAAGATTTGTATTATCTTTTAATTCTACTTCTCCACTAACTTATTTATTTATCTTTTAATTGACTTGTATTGATTGTACATATTTATACGGTACAGAGTTATATTTCAAATACATGTATAAAATGTGTGATGAACTAATCAGGGTAATTAGCATATTCATCATCACAAAGATTTATCATTCCTTTGTGATGAGAACAAAACCGATCTGCAGCATCCTACATGGCTGATCGTGAAAAACTTTCTTGACTTAGTTTCCAGAACACCACATCATCCTGGTTTTTCTCCTATTTCACTGGCCACTTGTTAGTCTCCTTTGCTACTTTGTCCTCCTCTCCCTGACCTTTAAACACTAGAATGCCCTCCCTACGTGATTTCGGTCTAATCCCTACACGATTTCATCCAGACCCAGTTTTAAATCCCATCCACATGCCAATAACAACAAAATTTACATACCTTGTCCTGACCTCTCTCTAACCTTCAGTGCATTTAATATCTGAAACTGCTCATGGTGTCCTCCTCAAATGGGTTCCTCCTAAAAGTCTTCTCTATCTCCAATAATGGCACCTCCATTCTCTAGAAGTTGGGTGTCACCCTTCACTCTTCTCAGTTCTATACCCCACTTCTAATACATCGACACATCTTGATAGGTCTACATTCAAAACAGATCCATAATCTGACCATATCTCACTACTT